AGACCCCGGCGCATTCCTCAGTGTCTCAAGGGGAGGAGGAGGAGAAGTGATGGACCAGACGCAGTCCGAGGCAGCGCCCTGCTCCTCGAGAGGTCCCGCGCCTCACAGGCGGCGTGACTGTTGGGGGGTTCTTACCGCCCCGTCGCGTCCAGCTGGCAGGGGAGCACCGCGTAGCTCGTTTAGATACGGCAGAGACGGCGTAAGTAGCTAATCCCAGTAGTCGTGCTTCTCCGTTGCCTGCCACCGTGGCCTTCGGTGGAGCTCCCAATGGGGCCACGAAGCGTGCGAGCGGTGTGCCGAAATGGACATGCGCTGGGCGGGGGGCCGCATGTGAACCCTGCCACTGGGGCCTTCGGTGGAGCTCCCTATGGGGCCACGAAGCGTGCGAGGGGTGTGCCGACATAGACATGCGGTGGCCAGGCAGCAGCATGTGAACCCTGTCACTGGGGCCGTCGGTGGAGCTCTTCAGTGCGCAATATCAGACCGCTCTCTTGGCAATCTCAGACCGCACCATCGGTATAGACACCTTGGATCAGGTTGCTGAGTTGAGTTGCAGTGAGCAGTCAGGCCGGCTGGTGCCGAGTTGCGAAAGCGCGGCGGGATCGTGCGAGCACGTCGCGGCGCTAGGCAAGCACAGCAGGGGTGTGCGTCGTCCCCGATGGTGGCAAAAGCGTGCGCGGGCGTGAAAAAAGAAGAAGCGCGGCGCGGCCTCCACCGAGGTGGCCGAGCGGTGCCCGGACCCTGGCCGACGAAGTACACAAGAAAAGCACCGACCTTCTCACAGTGCCGTGGTAGAAGTCAGGAGGGGGCAAACACACATATGCAATTGAACGTCGGTTTCAATGAGAACCTGGGAAAATATGGGAAGTGAGGGGGAAGACGACAGCCTAGAAAATGTGTGAAAATATGGGGAGTCCTGGGATTTGTGTGTACTTATACATATATATATATATATATATATATATGTGTGTGTGTGTGTGTGTGTGTGTGTGTCCCTGGGCTCCTTCAAGAATATCGCCCAGTGTTTGACAGGCTGGCGTAGCGTGGGTTGGAGGTGCCCCGCTGGGCGCCTGAGGCCTGTCGGGTATAAGCTGACGCGAGCGGAGCTGCGCTAGCGAAGGGGCGGGCAACATCGGGTTTGTGTCTCCAGTCAAGCTCTTGTGTGGCTGAGCGGTATGGCGGTTTGGAAACGGCGAGCCGCGTGGAACTTCTTCAAAATAGATGGGTTCGAACCAGGTTCCAAAGTCGCTTCCATACCATCGAAGTCGGTTCCACACAATATGAAAATGGGCGTCTCGTGTGGGACTTCCTCGGAAAAAGCAGGCTCGAACTAGATTCGAACTCCGTTCCAAACAAAAGAAAGTGTGTGTGTGTGTATGTGTGTCTCGTGAGGGAAGTTTGTGTGGGGGTGTGTCGGAATGGACATGCGGTGGGCGGGAAGACGCATGCGAACCCTGTCAAAGGGGCCTTGGGTGGAGCTCACTATGGGGCTACGAAGCGTGTGAGTGGTGTGCCAGACTGTGCGGGGGAGGCGCATGCGAACCCTGCCATTGGAGCCGTCGGTGGAGCTCACAAATAAGCCACGAAGCGCATGACTGGCTGTGCCGTAGTGGGCATGCGAAGGGCAGAGACAATGATGATAGGAGGAACGGGGGGGGACGGAATAGGGTGACGCGGGGCGCTTTCTCTTCAGAACGAGAACCCAATGCCATAGGATGGTATGGGAGCAAACTGCCTTGCCCATTGTACAGCAAACGATTGCGGACGGGGGGGACCAATCTGGCACCTGCCATGTCGAGATTCATGTCTCCCAGAACACAGAATATTCGAATTGAATGGACAGAAAACGGAGTCACCGCAATTTGAAGGGATGGGCGGGTGGAGTAGGATGTCATACGCAGCCATGGCAGTAGATTCTTCAACTCACCATGGACCATGGCGAAGGTCTTTTTGAATATTCACAACACGATAAGACATGGTGCTTGCGTCATTCGGCGAAATTGTTTCGATCCAAGAGATTATGCATAGTTCTGTAACCCCAATCAGGGCTCGAACGCTACTCCGCGCCAGGCCCTGCAATTCGGCGAGCAGGATACGTATCCGCGCTGGGAAGTCGGAGCGGCTTCTACTTCGAGCTGCTCCGCGCGGTTGCGCCAGTGGCGAAAGGCGAATGGAACAGACGCTTGCCGCGGTGATGTACGTGGCGCGAGCGCGCCTAGTACTTGCCTCCACCACCTCTCCTCTCTCCTCTCACTTCTCTCTTCTCCCTCCTTCCCCGCCCCCCTCCCTCCTCCCCCCTCCCTGCTTCTCGTCCTCCTCCTCCTCCTCCTCCTCCTCCGCACCTACCTGCTCCTCCTCCTCCTCCTCCTCCTCCTCCTCCTCCGCACCTCCCTGCTCCTCCCGCCCCCTACGGACCGAGCGGGAGGCCCTCGTCAGGGGGCCGAGCGCGGACGGGGTCGAGGCGGACCCGCCCGACAAAGTCGATTCACGAATCTTCCCCCAAGGCTCCCCTCCTCTTCGGGCGTCTCGAAAGGAGGAGGAGGCGGAGGAGGAGGAGGAGGAGGAGGAGGAGGAGGAGGAGGAGG